TTTATTTAGGAAAAAAATTAGTAACATAAGAAAAAATTGTTCTACATCTAATAACTTGCAAAATCATTGCCTTGAATGAAATGGAGAAGAGACCAATAACAAAATCTATAAATACACTATAAAGTGAATAATATAGTGTAATAAAATATTTTACTTCCTTCAATGCTACCTTGTTGTTGATATTGTTCTTATACCAATTGCATTGCATTTTGTATTCTTAAATAGAAGAAGACGATGGCCGCTGCAATGATTTGGACGTTTCAAATTCTACTATCTTTGTATTTATTTTATAAGTAAAATTATTAGTACTTTCATCTTAAAAAGTTTATGCTTTAGTTACAATTATGATTATTTGTTTGTTGCCAATATAAGTAATCAATTGTAAAATGATAAAATATTTGAGAATGATTTTACAAAACAATTTTGCCAAGTAACCTTAAAAATCTTAATTTTTATTTAAAATGGTGTAGGTTTGGATTCCATAGCTATTTCAAAACAAACATATATAATTCAGCCATTATATTGCATATCATTATGTAATGTTTTGTTTCTTTAAGCAATATATAGAATGTTTGATGCATGTTTTTCTTCCTATTAAATCATTGATTTAGTGATTTTTTAGTTATGTATATATGGAATATAAATCACACAATATTTATGGAGATAAATTTTATATTTTATATTTTTAAATTATTTTTTATAAAAATTTTAATCTTTATCAATTATTTTATACAAACATTTGATTTACTTTTTTTACTTTTATTTATTTTGATGTGGTGATAATAAAACATGTTTGTATGAGCATTAGTAACAATGTTTGTATTATCTCATTATTATACTGTACATTATTTTGTATCAATAATTTACTTTAATATATTGCTTAAAAAGCAAAGCAAGGCTTCTAATGAAAGTACAAACTATAAATATTCAACAAAATTTATTATTATGACATGATTTATTTTTATAAATATGCAACATAATTTTTTTTGTTTTGGTAAAAATATTCTTTAAAATATATATATATATATATATATATATATATATATATATATATTAAATATATATATTAAATATATATATTGTTTGGTAATTTATGTTTTCTTTCAGATAGCAACAATAAAAAATCATTAAACATGAATTACTCAACAAAATATTTCTAAAAAGAATGTGAATTTCATTAGTGTATAAAATTAATATTAACATACTAATAATAATAATAATAATAATAATAATATATTTATATATATATATATATATATATATATATAATAAAAAAATAAAAAAACAAGTGTAATGTTGTGAAAGTTGAATTAGTTTGTATGAAGTGCAAAATCCTTCACATTTGCATAGAATCTTTAATATATACAAAAGAAAAATACGATTCAATTATTTTTGGTGTTTTTTTTTTCTCTCTCTCTCTCTCTCTTTATTATTCAAAAAACATTTTAAACTCTTATAATTCTGTTATGCTATTTTTTTAAGGGTATAAATATTTTGATCCTCCCTCTTACATATTTGATACTCCCCAAGGTTATTCTCAACCAAGAGGGTCAGATCTCAATCAATTTATCAAATTTTAAATATGGTAGAAATACATGTTTATTTTTTATTATTATTATCATTTTTGAATTTATCTTGTACAACATAAATACCTATCAGTTTAAACATATTTCTTTTTCTTTTTTCCAAGTAATGACTATTATTATAGAATATATTCTTGGCATTATAAAAGATACAATGTTATTTATTGAATTACAAGTTTCACAAAAAAAAAAAATACCTTTTTCTAAAATATATAAATAAATAAATCTTAATATATTATTATTTTATATTTACCATGATATCTTTATATGAATTGAGGAATAATTTTAATTTTAGATATTATGTATATATATAAGAAAAATAATATGACGTTTAATTTCACTCTATGAATAATACTGCATTTTAAAATAAGGAATTTTCTTTAAGTGTTAAAGAATCAAATAAATTTTATTATTAAATTCAGTATAAGGATTTCAATTTTTCAATAGTTAGGTCGCATCAACCTTATCATCTCAAAATGCCTTTTACAAAAAAAATGTTAATCTTAGAGTTTTTATTTTATTTTTAATAATAATTCCATAAAACCTTAACTTGTTTTTATTTTTGACACTTGAAATAATTTTTAAATAATTAATTTAATTTAATTACTAAAAATATTACAAAAAATTACACTTATAGAATTGCACGATTTTTTCTATAATTATTTTTTATACTTTCTTAATAACCAAAATAATTGTACAACTAATTAATGGTATTTAAATTTTAAGTTGTCATTGACATGGGTGTTGCAAATGTATATTCATTTTAAAATAATGTAATTAATACAGTAATTTTAGGAGTAAAATTACACAATTTATTAACAACAATTAATAATTTCAAAAATAGCTCAATAAGAATGTATGTGCTTGCTGGTAATCAAATTTATAAAAATATAAGAGGTTATTTATATTGCAAAAAGTGTTTAACACTTTATGTTCATACCTATAACTACTATTTTTTTATCTATCAGTTGAAAGCTTGTTAAATTAAAGTTTTGATACATGTTTACTTTATATAAGCATGTTTTGAATTCTAAGCATAATCCAATCATAATTGATAAAATATAATTCATATAATACAAACTTGTTTTATAAGTATGGATGGCATATTCTATTTTATTTTTTAATATATTTATCTTTTATCTACTTATATCATTTTTTATATCTAATTTTTAAATTACTTTAATATATACACATACATTATATAGAAATAAGTAAATTATTTATTTATTATTAAGTTATCTACAATAATTTATAACTTATGTCATATTCTTCTTTTAAAATTTTAAAGATTAATTCTTATTTTCAATCATAAAATATACATAAAAAAATTAAATGTCATAAATATTTAGACTATTAGAGTATTTATTAATAATAAAGAATATATAGAAATAGAAATAGTAGATAACATTGTAGCTCAAGAGACATTAAAGAAGCTTCTTAGATCCACAATGGATGTTTAGATGTTTTTAGATGTGCCATATTGCTAAAATAATATCTCTTTAAGATTGTTTTACATCTATGAGACTAATATTAAAACATTCTACAAGTAAAATACTCGGTAGTAAGTCTTTTAGTTCTAAAGAAGCTTTTAGATGGTCTACTTATTAGCTAGCATGTAAGGAAATAAGACTAAAGTTATCTTAGTCTTATCAATTATTTTTCTATAGCCTATCTTAGTTTAAATTTCTTTAATATTTTTATATTTGGCTAAAGTTTTATCAATACCTTTTTTTTTATAAATACATCTTTTTCTTTATCTCATTACTATTTTCTTAGTTATGTAAGAGTTCAATGTCTTTTGATAAGTTTGTTTGACATTCATGCTCTTAATAAATCAAACATAATTACATAATTAGTATTATTTTTAATATTTTTTTTTAATTTATTACTTAGTTTACTTTGTAATTAATATTTTTAAAATACAAAGATTATAAAACTAAATTCTAAAATTTTAAGCCATTTAAATACTATAATAAGTTATATATTTTTGCATGTTGTTTTGATTTTATTAATTTAAACCAAAATAAATAAAAAATTAAAAAATTAAAAACTTATATTTATATATACAATTTAACTATAATTTATTTATAATATATAAGATGTAAATTTTTTCCATGTAAATTCATTGGAGGTTCTATTTTGTCTTAAGGATCAATTTTACAATCTAAATTAATCCTTAATACTATTATATTAAAAAAGAATTATATAATAAATAATATAAATAACTTTAGTATATTTTATTCTATTTTATTCTATTTGTACAATAGTATGTCAAGAAATGGCATAAATTCTTCAAAAGTATAATCGTCAATCAATGTGATTGGTCAAAAAAGGTACCTAGATGGTACTATAGTAATTTTTCTTCTTCATTCATAAATGGATTTGGACAATTTCAACAAAATTTTACATGTTTGTTCTTGCTTGCACTCTCCTGCAAGGATTAAAATTTAAGGCCAAGGAGAGGAAAGGTCAAGGGAGCCTTGGCCAATGCTAAAGTACTAAAGCACAGGATTGGGGAGAGGCAATTAGGCAATATGAAGAAGAGCCAAACTATAATAAGAATTAATAGTTTCATGTGTAAATGACCAGATTTAAACCTAACAACATTTAAATGCCATTGGCACCATCTCTTTTAAATACTAACTTCAACATATAATCTTACATTACTTATGTTAATTTGGTTTTGCCACACTCATTGCTTAACCACAGCCCATTTCCAGCTGATAAGGCAAGCGCAAAACTTGTACTACAAATAAAAAAATCTATGTGTGAGAATGAAGTAAAATTCCCTAAGTACCAGTTGGGTACCTTCCTTATCAATCAACAATCAAATTGGTTACAATGGTGTACCATACTTTATACATTGCATTTTTTTTCCAACAAGAATCAACTCTTGATTTGCATTATACTCAAACTGCACCATATGAAACACACATTCATACATACATGTGCGAAAGTAGAAGCCTGTGGGCATTTTCCAAATAAAAAGGTGCCAAACCAGCCATAAAACATGATTGTTTCGATAAATGGTTCAGGCCACGGAACAAATATTACTCCATTGTGGGAATGGTAATGGTATTTCGGAGCATACGGATGTGAATGTCCGGGGGCTACTTTTCACTAAGAAGTCTCTTCCATTACTTTGCCCGCTCACATGTGAAGATCCAATTGTAAATCTACAGTACTACGGCGTACACGCTTGGAGTTGCGAGAAATAACACTCAATGAGGCATAGAAATGCATTGAAAATGAAATGAGCTGAAAACTGTGGGGTTGAATGTTAAGAACCCGTCCATCTTCCATCATGAACCGGAGATTTTTTCACTTTCACGTGGAGGTCAAATTAAGTGCTAGCAGCTACCAATATGACTATCGTGGCACTCCGCCTACTGACTTCTTAACGCCAACGACATTAAATACCATGAACAAAAAGTTTAGATTGATCATAGTACCCACGAAAGCTGAAAAATTGGGTAGAACTAGAACATTCTCTGACACCGACGTTCACAATTCACATTCACTCAATGTCGGCAGACTTCAAATGAAGTTTTTGAGACCAATTTGAGCAAGCAGTCCTTCAATCTGGGATCGATGTTCACTGCTACGAAAACCCAGCCGATCTTACAAGATGGATAAATCAGCATATCCATATTTAACATCTAAAACTACTAAACCAGAGATAACTTGTCTGTTCTATGTAGTTGTACCTACGTAAGATAAGGTCCAACTATCGCACTTGCACAATACCAGCATTGACCAATTTTTGGATTTTACCCATCACCATAGGATTCTTCATGTGCTCTTGCGCAGCCTTTGGGTTCTCCTGGAAATCTGTAAGTACCTGCGCACCGATGGAAATATGTAACACAGTATTAATACTACAAGCCTTGTGAAACATTCAGAGAGAAAAGCTTGTCTCGGAATCCCAAATTAGACAACCAGCAAGACCATACAAACCAAAGGGCACAACAAACAGTCGTTACTTGGACTTGTGTGCAGACTATGCACTAGAACCCCACTTATCATGTAAAAGTTAATGTCCAACACACCTGTCTCATGACGGGATCTGATAAGATGCCTTGAATTTCAGGGTCTTGCATGGACCTCGCCTGTGCTCAAGAAACAACTCCGTGAGTACACTGTCACGTCTGAATTGCATCGTTAATGGAAAAAGCATTCAGAGATTTCTGTGCATTCCACATTACTGACCTGCTTCTCTTTAAGATCATCAGCGCTGATGTCACCCCTGTTCATTTTGTTGATTTGGTCCATACATCTGCACATGGATACATGTTCTTTAGTACCATGTTATGGCAACTGCCAAGCGTGCAATAGCTAATTTTCGTTATAATCAAGGACACTCGTAATTATATCCCACACGAAATGATACAAAAACAGAAATGTGACTACGATCGTATACCTCCGAACGCCATCCATCAACTCCTGGTTGCCTTCATTATGCTTCAATCCAAGCTGACGTATTCAACCAATAACCAGTGAGAATGTAGCAAAGAACATAAACGAAAAAAAAAAAAAAAAAAAAAAAAAAAAAAAAAAAAAAAAAAAAAAAAAACGAACCAGAGTCACGGAGTCCGCCTCTTGAGGACATATTCACGTGACAATCAGTGGAGAGACGAACTGAATCTCCAGCACAGTATTCAAACACGTGCTGAAATACATGTGCTACTTTGAGTCGGAAATTGAGTCTAGAAACAAAACAACGCACCCGCCTCCGTTGTCAAGTGCAAGCTGTGTCAATTAGCTTAGAAATATTACCTGGTAAGTTTCCAAAGCCTTGTCGTATTCCTTCATGAAGAATTGAATAGCACCCTTCCTCGAGTATCCCTTCACAAACGTGTCGTCCAATTCTATGCACTTGTTTGCATCTTTCAAACCTTCCGGTAAAGCTCCCAGCTTTGTGTAGCATGCTGCTCTATTACTGTACGCCTGCCAAATGCAGTAAGGTAACCAGCTTACCCATGAGAAAATGTAAATATACATGCAAGGAAGAATCCACATAAAAAAATCGCAAGAATCCACAGTGCTTCTTATCAATGTCAAGAGCTCACCTTTGCATCTGATGGATTTCTCTTGATAGCCTCTGTATAGTGTTTTACAGCCTCTGGATACTGGTCCTTCTTAAAGTATTCATTCCCTAAATCAAGAAACATTCAACCCATCAGATGCCGAACTCCCTGAATCAATACAATCATTCGGAAACCAATGCATTGTTGATAATGGAATAAACTCCTGAAAATTTTCTAAATCACTTACCTTTCTCTCTCTCTTGCTCAGCTATTGCAGGGTCATAGTATTCTCGCTGCTCTAACTCCTTCTTAACACGCTCTGCCTCGTTCAGCTTCTTCAGAGTATCTGGGTTTCGGTGCTCAGTCAAAGCTTTGTTGAAAACTTCAATAGCAGCCTCATAGTCTTTGCTAGTCTTGGCCATCTTCACCAAGGTTGTACCCTTTCTTGTCAACGCTTTCGCGATCAGCTTGTAGTCGGCGTGCAATGACCTTCCTGTTTCGACGGCCAATTCACAGTCGGCGATGCACTCTTCGTACTGCACATAATCAAGGGTTAACACGGTGTACTGATAGTCGTAATTACGGAAGGAATCCTCGAATAACCAATGAAGCACACTCCACAAGAGCCAAAATTATAGTACAATTCAAGTCTGAAGGGAGGCTCTGGATCTCAATCCCTGTCTATCGCCTGTCCCTAGGAAACACGTCGAGACTTAACGCACGTACCTTGCCCATCTCTAAGTATACTGCAGCCCGATTTGTGATGAAGGAAATGTCTTCCCCATACAATTCAAGAGCTTTGGTGTAGTGCTGCACAGCAGCTTCGAAGTTCTTTTTCTTGTACTCCGCATTCCCAGCTTCTTTCTCCTGCAGGGCCTGGGCCTTCCGGTTTTTCAACTCCTTCTCATCGTCGTTTACGTCCACTGGTTCCGGTTCTGGCTCTGGCACTTTTTCGGAGGAAGCAGCAGGGGCAGGCTGAGTTGATGGTACACTCCGTGGCCGCTCCTCCGTGCGAATCTCTGGTGGGGACGTTGCCTCTTCGGAATGCCCGTCATCACCTTCGAATTCCGCCCCGGGCTGTGCAGTCTGAATATTAACACCCAGCAGAACACCAATCACCTGCATCATACGAGGATCATTGATGTAGCGAGATACGTTGCTGGGATTCTTCTGTGCATCGTTGATCATCGCCACGAAGTCGGGCTGCTGCAAGTAGGGTCGAGTCCGAGGATCGCCTTGCAGCTTCACCCACACATCGGGCCCGAACATGTTCCCGAAAGGAGACCCACCTCCCATCGGTGAATCACCTGCAGGAGGTGCCCAAGACCGTGGCTTGGCTGCCTCTGCATCGGCCAACCCAGACTTCAAACCGTCGTTGTTTGGGTCGGTCTGCAGACCTTTCTTGTACGCTGCAATGGCTTCGTCATAATCCCTGAGACCCACGTAAGCAGCACCCAACCTGCTGTAACCTTTGGGCCACTCAGGTTTCAACTCGACAGTCTTCTTGGCATCCCGAAGGGCGTCCTGGTACTTATGTAAAGAAGCATACGCAGCTGAGCGATTAGAGTACAGGACATGATTGCTTGGGGCCAGAGCTATTGCGTCCCCAAAATGCTTTATAGCTTCATCGAACTTCCCAGCCGAGAATGCAGCATTGCCTTTGGCCTTAGCCTCGTCTGCCATGATTGAATTTCCTTATGATCGCCCTGTATCTGTGACTGTGTCCCAACTACACAAACAGCAGGAATCCACACTTAAATGCAAGGCCAGAGGATATCATCGGCTTCGAATATCCTAGAATCTGTATGACCTAAAAATAAAACCTGAAAGAGAGAAGGTTTCATTACTAGAGTAAAACTCAATAGGCATGACCCACGCAAAATCCTACACACCCATCAAGTACCAAATTCATCAGCTAAACTCGTGGAACTGCAACTCGTCGACCTAAGCCGTCAGGCGAAATTTGGGTGCAGGCCATCTGAGTTAAGACCACACCAAAGTACGACTGACTACACCTGCACATCAAACGCGTCAATTCTCCCTACATCCCGGCAGAATCTAGAAGGCAATAAATCGTCCTAGCAACTGAAGCCAATCCTACAAGAACACAGCTAACCCAGCCGTTGATCACAGACTTAAACCATTTTCCAATCGACCTCTGCTCACCACGACACTGAGAATCTCCCTCGGCACACAATGCGACTCCAACACCTCTCCACACCCCCTCTCCACACCCCACAGAGACAACATGATTGACTCACCAAGCCAAACAGTCCACACTCTCAAAAGTTCTCACAACACAAATTCTCACCCAAGGCACCGACACAAACACCATTACGAAGCGCAGATACGACACAAGAGAAAAGAGAACAATAAATAAATAAATAAACACGACTCTTCAGGGTCGAAACCTAAAAAGCTCGTTGACAGCTCAAATGGTGTGCGGACAAAGCCAAGCTGGTGACCCAACAACCGTCCGAAATGCAGCAACAAAGGTCAGAGACGCGCGACCCACCCGGATACGTGCAAAAATGTTGTGAGCGCCGACGAGAAATGACACACGATCGATGCCGAACAACGTCAGTTGGCGAGTCCCTGAAAGAGTATTGTGAAGTCGGAGGCGACGAGCAGTTCAAATGCTGAATGCCCCCCCCCCCCCCCAGGACGACGACGCTCTTCGAAGGAAGCTCCTAGAACCCTACTCCTGGCTCCCTCTCGTTCCCACCCGTTCGCCATGGTTCCCGCTGCTCTTGGGGTGCGTGCGCATGGAGCTAGCTCTAAGGGAACACACAACCTCATAATTCTTCAATAATTTGATCACCACGTCCACTTGCCTACAGTGAATACCACTGTCTTTAAAGCGTTTATTACTTCTATTGATTTCAAATTTTAATTTTTTTTTCCTACTTATAAATCTTAAATGTTGACACAATCTTCATATTGGAATTTTCTAATTTATTGGTTCCAACTATATAACATCAATTGTCTTTGTTATTCTTTTGTTGATCTTGCATCATCTACGTTCTTGCATAATATCATGAATTTTACATATGACTTATATTATTATCAAAATTATTTATTTAATTATTTTTAATTTAAATATTTTTGACATTGTAATAATTTTTAGAAATTAATAAGATTGTATAAATATTAAAATTTTAAAATAAAAATATGTTTGAATAAAATCTTTAAATCGTGTTTTAGATTTTTATTAAATAATATAACTAATCTCTTAATTTAAATGCATATTTAGTATTTAATATTAGAAATTCAACAGTATAAAATTATATTTGGATTTTTTTATTTCTATTTTAAATCTATTGCCACTTTTATTTTGCAATCTGTTTCTTATTATAAACATTTTATAATTGGTCAAATTTTTAAAAATCGACTTGGTTCTTATCTAAGAATAAAAGATATATTATATAATATAATTTTTGCAATCTAAAATTTATCTTTTAAACTTTTGGGGTCATATAATAGAATAATACAAATTTTAGAATATTTTATAATATTCATGAAGTTTATAAAAATTAATACCCAGCCAAATAATGACTTGACATGAGTCAAATTATTGAAATTTAAAGATATTTAACAAAACTTAGTGATTTAAAAACTTACCTTCTTGTGGTGTAAAATTTAAATCATTATTTTTTAGCATAATTTTACTTAAATAACTTGAATATTATAAACTTATTATCTTATCTTAAAATATATATATAATAAAATAATAATAATAATAATAATAATATATAATAGATTTAAGAACAGCTTTTTTAAATAGTTAATAAGATCTTATTAGATGTAGTATTTGGCCACAACCATAATTTGGATTGTGCCAGCAAATGTGGAGTTAGTTTTATATTACTTATATCTTTTAAAAACTTATATCTTTTAAAAACTTATTATTAAGAATATATGATTATCATATAAAATTAATTAAAATTTAATTTAATCTAAATATTTGACATAATTGATATGTATACACACAACAACAATCAACTCTTCAAATATATATATATATATATATATATATATATATATATTAAAAACAACTTATAGATAGTCTTTGCAAAATTCATGCATAGGTGCTAGAAAATAATTAGAATATAAATGAGGATTTTAGGACAAGTTATTTGGTTAGAATTTATAAAAATTACAGATAAAAAATACACTCTTCATAAGTTCTGTGTATGTCTATATATATATATATATATATATATAATACCTATAATTTTTAATTTGGATAATTTAAATTTTAAAAAGATCTACAAATATCAAGGGCACTTTTGTCTTTAATAATCCATCACCTTTAATAATGATTAAATATTTTAACAATACAATCATATTATTTTAAAAAGTAAATAAAACAGTATTAATTCCTTGATATACATTTTTGTTTAATTTTATATCACATTTTATTTTTTTATTATTTAAAAAATAATAAAAAGAATCTCATTAGATGCAAATTAAAATATCATTAGCATTGGCTTACAACATAAGTAGTTATAATGCTTTTATGTATACTTGTTTAGTATTTTAACATATAAATGAAGTTGTAATTATAAACTACTATAAATAATTAAGTTAATAAGGACCTACACATATATTAAACAAGATCTCTAATTAAATTCAATACTGCATTTATGTAATTGCTTACATTGGATCTTTAACTAAAGTTTTATAAAATATTACATATGTAAAAACAATTCATAATTTTTTTGACTTTAATGCTTCTAAAGGTGCACTTACTTTGTGTGTAAAAATAATGTTTTAAGTTGTTTTTTCATGAATATTATGCATATAAATTATCTCCTATAATTATTCTAACTACACACAATCTTATAAATAGATTCTTTGGTAAATATCCAACTTCATACAATTTAAACTTAATATCTTATAACCAAATTATATATATATAATATAATATATATATATATATATATATATATATATATAATTTATTTGTTTGCATTGGAAAATTCCATCATTTTTCATCATTTTTTTGTAGTTAACTAATATATTATAAAATGATTGATTTTGCACTTTTAAAGTTTTCATGCATGCACATTTTTTAATATAAAAAACTTCAAATACCAAATGTTTCAAGAATAAAAATGTTAGATGATTATTTATCCAAAAGTAAGTTGAATTATTTTTTAACCTTTACATAGACCTACAACCTCTGTGTATCCATAGTATCAATAATCTTCCTTCTTTCTATGAAAAAATCCCTTATTTACAGACAAAATTATTATTTTAAATTGGTAATCAAATAGATATTTTGATCAGTTTCTTAAAGTTTCATTTAATTTTAATTTCATTAATTTCAAAATTATATAATTTTAATAGAAGTAAAATGGGTTTTAATTGTTTACCTACAATATGTTTTTGTTTCTTCAAAATAAATTCTTTACTTTCTAGAGTGTTTTCTTCTACTTTATATATATATATATATATATATATACACATATAATTCGTAAAATTTTTTTGTTAATGTAAAAAAATAATTTAACATCATTTCTATCTTTGAATTCAACCAAGTTTTATTTAAATAAGTAGAAATCATTTTATTTGTTTGTTTTCTACTATAAAAACATGACAATTCCTGCATAGAGTAGATAAACTTGAAATTAGTATACATCTTCAATGAACTACATTTTTACCAAATCAATCAATTTTTTTGAAAGTAAAAAGATGTAAAAAATGAAATTTCTAACCAATTTTTTGACAAAAAAAACCATCCCATCCAAAATCAAACTAATTATAAAATTTTCACTCATTTGCCATAAAATATTTTTATTTATTTATTTTAATAGTAGATTATGAATAAATAAGAAAATATACCAAAGCATAGGTTAGACACCTATATAAAAGTACTAGTACAATCTTATGTTCATCAAATATCAAGCTGAAGAGAGTTTTAGGATTGCAACCATAAAAACAAAGCATAACACAACCCTAAAAACGATCACCCATCCGTCCGTCCTTCAGTCCGTCCATTCGTTCGTCTATCCGTTCGTTTGTCCGTTTGTCCATTCGTCCGTCCTCGTCAACATGGGGATGTCGATGTCGGTAGATCTGGTATCTGTTTGTGAATGATCACAGCGCCACCATCGCCGCGCGCTCGAATGTTGCAGTCAGTCTGCGCGGAATCAAGCGCTCACCGATCTGGCATCGACACTCCGACCGTTATCTGCGAGCGAGCGAGGTGAGCGTGGACGCTTGCGGTTTAAGCTGTTGATCTCGCGTGGATTGAGAGGCTGGCTGGTTCATCAGCGCATGCAACGGCGGCCTGAAGTTGGTTTCATCAGCTGAGGGTAGTCGGGAATGCTTGAGCTGGAGTGTTGAAGCGGGACGTGGCAGGATTCTCCGCCGAGGACCTGCGCCTGAATTCCTCTGCTTTTGCTACACAAATATTTTTCTCTTTACGTGTATTACGGTTGGAAGGAAACCTTTGGGTCCTGTTTGAGTTGCGGAGGGCTATGGTTTACTGCTTTAGTTAAGAGTTGAACTTAATGGAATTTTTAGGTTGAAGTAGAGATTGTGGGTTACACAGTGTGGTGAGGATCGAGTGGGTTATTTTATGGGTTTCTTCAGATTTTGAAGGTGTGGAGCGATGGCAGCGGCTTTGAAAGAGATGAGTTGGGCAGTTTCGAGAGTCTCCTCCACTGTAGCTCTATCGGTAGCCGGTGCTCTACACACGATGATATTCAAATGCGCACCTCGACTGCTCTTCTCGAGCTCGTCCCTACCGCCATGTCCACCAAGCTTCTGAATTTCGATCCACTCTAGTTTAATACTGTGAGAATGGCGTCCGATTTCACCAATCTAAGATGACACTCGCTCTCTCACTCTTGTCATTTTTTGTTTCGTTTTTGTTTAGTTTTTATTTTTTTTGATAATTTGGGGTTTCAAACGCCGATTATATGAGTAATTGTTTGACAGGGTTACAGAATGATTAGCTTCTTGTCAATTCTACATGTACAATTGTTTCGTTGTCTTAAGCGTTGAGGCAGTATTGATTACTATTTAGGATTGTGTTTTGCATGAAATGTGACTAGCAAGTATACAACCTCAATGCAGCTGAAGTATTTCTACATAATGGAACTTTTTATCATTATTTGTGGCTCTTTTTTATTTTATTTTTTATTTTTTATTTTTAAAGGTAGTTACAGTCAGACTATGTTGTAATGTAGTAACAAATCCTTGCAGATTTTTCCAACTGCCGTGCCTTCACTTCACACTGATGTTTGTATATTTACAAGGACTTGATATAGGAAGGTCAAGGATATGGAGCACAATGTATTGAAATCGTCTGTTATCTGTGAAGATGGCACTCTAATCGAAGCAGTTGTTGTGGTTGATGCCACTAGCCATTCAGAGCGTCTAGTGAAGTATGACAAGCCTTTCATTTCTGGTTATCGAATTGCTTCTAAAATTGTTGTTTAGGTATGGAAAATAATGTATACTTGGTGTTAATACCAAATATTGTCATTTTGGCTTCAAGGGTGTCTTTGTCAAGCAATCCTCCCATTCTACAATGATATTTGTATTATAGTTATTGCTATTTTTGACATATGTGAGTTAAATATATTATATAGTTCAGGTTTTGGATATTTAAAGGTCATCATTAAATTAGATGGAAGATCTCTTGTCAAAGATTTATTTATTTATTTATTTATTGTGTGTTTTCAATTAGAAATTGTAAAGCAAATTTTGTGTTTAAAATTTATTTTTAATCAGTTAGAAATTTTGTATTATATATATATATATATATATATATATATATTAATCTACCATTTATTAAATCAACCTACCTAACATAACCATCATTAGAATAATGGTCTTCATTTCAACTTTTCTTGTTTCTAATCTCTGCTTCCATTACCTCCTTCATTTTAATTTCCAACTCTCATCTTAACCCCTTGTATTTTGAACCCCCATTACTATTACCAACTCCTATTCCAATCTCCCATCCTTATATAAATAATAAGTATAAAAATATTTTTATATACATTTCAAAACTACTACAACTTAAGCTACAAATTCTATCAATTACCTAAGATTAGCTAACTTGTAGCTTCAATAAATATTAAAAATTGTAACTTGATCTATACATTAGAAGTTATATCAAGGACAATCACACACAAGAAAACAAAGGATCGAGAAATCTAGCATAGAAATCCATTCCATCAATTCTTCATCCTTTGAATGATATAGATGTAAAAAGAAAAGTTTGGCCAATACTTATTTTGTTCTAGTTTACTCAAAGTTCTTTTCTTTGCTATTAGTTTCTTGGATTGTATACAACAATTAATGCAAAAATTGAAGCTAAAAAAACAAGATGACTATACTAAATTTAAAATAAAATAAAAATAAATAAAAATAAATAAATCAAACTCCATGAAAGAGACCATCTCTAGATGTATAGGTGAATTTTAAATTTCTTTTGAGGAGGCACAAAATATGTTCATGGCTTGCAAATAAAGAAACAAAAAAAATTATGTATAAAAAAAATTATTTTCAAAGAATAAAATACCTTACATTAACTATAAGTTTTTCAAATAAAGGTATCTATTTATCTCAGACATATATATTTATCTAAATATGAAGTATAAGGTAGAAGATAAATGTAGGTAGATTTAATAATATCTTGTAGCATAGCTTCTTAGAAGCTTCATAGAGGCAAATTAAACTTTATATGTGTTTGTAGTTGATTAATAGGTTAGAAACTTGGCCAACAAGTTAATCATGTGTTGCACATGTTGGTAGCTTGTGGTACAAGCTAACTATGTGGTGCAAATGTAGGAAATTCATCTTGTAAGTTTTGACACATGTCTTATAAGTTAAACACATGTCAAAGGTCCTTAAGAATGTTGCCACATAACTCCTAATTAGATAGTATATATGGATACAAGAGTGAAGCCTTCTTCACTCTTCTTAAAGTCTTTCTTGACCCTAGTCTTGTTTCAAGGGACTCTAATTTTCTTGTCTTTGGCAATAGCCATTCTAGTTTAATACTATATCATCTTTAAGTGATTATTTAGTCTTTTCAAGTGATACAAAAGTATATTAATCCTTTGGTTCTTTGAAATTTATGCCTTGACACTACTATGAATTTTTAATTAACAATCATAAAAAATCTTGTGAATTTAGATATGTAAAAAATTGCAGTATATATGGCACAAAAATACATTTTTAATGTAATCTAGCTTCTTTAGCATACAAGTAGATTACAAGAGTATAATCTAACATTGCTCATTGAAAGCTTCTTAAATTTTATAAATAATGTTGCTACTTAACATGCGTATAAGATAAGAGATTGTCAATTATATTGTAATTGTAATACAAACCATGTCTACACCACATGCAATGATGGTGCCTAATATAAGCTTAATCATACACATATTTTTATTTTTTAAACTTGTTTAATCATGTCTCCCATCCTATATAAAATATTAAAGTGTGGAACTTAATATCCAACAAAAAAAAATGCGAATACACTCCCGGAACATCATCCCTATGATTGCTCAATTGACCTTCAAGAAGGAGCACAACCGCCATTCTGACCAATCTACAGTTTATCACAAAATGAGTTGGCTGAATTCAAGGAGTATATTGAAGAAAATCTAGCGAAGAATTTCATACGCCATTCTAAATCTTCGGTAGGAGCTCCAATTCTATTTGTGAAGAAAAAAGATGGATCATGAGATTTAGAAGAATTATTCTTGATATTATGAACAAGAGGGTCTGAAGAAATACTTAACTGGACTTGCTTAAGAAAAGTTAAATCAACAGTCAATGTTGATTTTATTGCTCGAAGATGAAATTGCTCTAGCTTCAAGAGAACCATTCTTTGTTGCTCAAAAGCTGCATCTCCTTCTTTTGGTACAAGATAAGAATGACTAGATAAGGCATCGCACAAACCTTATTATTTTCTTGGCCGATAAGTGATGATGAACTCGAATCTTAATAAAGACATGCTCCAACGAGCTTGAGGACGATTTAATACCCGTGTTGACATAAAATATTTGAGGTTCTTGTGATCCGTATACACGGTGATTGGACTGAAAGCGCCTTCTAGATAATGATGCCATTCTTGAAAAGAATCCACAATTGCAAGAAGTTCTTTGTCATGGATCTCATAATTGATTTGTGCTACTGAGAATTTTCTTGAATGAAAGCCTACTGGATGAAGTTTGTCATCTGTTTCCATTTGAAATAAAACCGCACCCAGAGCAAAGTCTGATGCATTTGTTTCCATAAAGAATGCTTTGAAAAAATCAACACGATATAAGATTGGTACGGAAACAAACGCATTCTTCAAAGATTCAAAAGCAACTTTCACTTCTTGATTCCATTGGAGTTTGTCTTTACAAGTCAAACATGTAAGTGGAGCTGCAACTCGAGAGAAATCTTTGATGAAGATCCGATAGTAGTTGGAAAATCCCAAAAAACATTGGACATCTCTTACCGTTTTTGAAATCTTCCAATCTATAATAGTTTGAACTTTCTTAGGATCCATCATAAGTCTATCATTTGAAATGATGTAACATAAGAAATCAACTTGAGTAGTGTGGAATATATACTTTTCTATCTTGGCATAGAGTCCTGTATCTCTTAATTTTTATAACACACGATGAACATAAAGTTCATATTCTTCTGGATTCTTAGAATAGATTAAGATGTCGTCTAGATAATAGACCACAAAATCGTCCAAAAACTCTCAAAAAACATCATTCATTAGATGTTGAAAAGTTACTGGTGCATTTGTAAGTCCAAAAGGCATGACGTTCTATTCAAAATGTCCATACCTAGTTCGAAATGCAGTCTTCTATTCATCTCCTTCTTTGATGCGTACTAGATTTTATGCTCCCTGGAGATCTATTTTAATATTGATCTTAGCTTGATTCAGCTAATCAAGAAGTCCAGATATTAAACGTAGTAGATACTTGTTCTTGATGGTAATCTTATTGAGTCCTCAATAATCAACACACATCCGCATTCTTTTTTTTAAATACATCTTGAAATTCTTGATATTGGCTTAGAATGCCACTTGAAGTCTTTTCACCAGTAGAAATGGGTGTGGCATAAATAATATATGGTGATTCTTTCATAGCAGCATGCAAGAAAGCTTTTGCACCTATAAATACGGATTTAATTGAACTAGACTTATGACTCTCTACTTGATTAACTACACTATTAGTTATACTTTTAGAGAAAGTAAGAGTTCGAGAAATCTAATCTATTTGAGGGTTGTATTTTTCTAACCACGATAAATCTAAAATGACTGAATTAGAGGGAGATCTAATGATATTAAATACTACAAAATTATTATGACCATTGATTATTACTTCTATAGGAAGGATTTCATGAGTAATATCTCCAAAAGACAATGGACGACCATCTATGACTTCTACATGAACAGGTTTAGTTTTCTTTATTAAAGATATGCTATGTCTTTTAGTAAATTCTTCACCTAAAAAACACGTTGAGGCTCCTGAATCTAACAAGGCAGAAACTTTGTAATATTTAGGTCCTAAAATAACATTTAATGTAAAACAAAGAGAGGGCTCTGAGGAGAGAATAGGACCTTTACTAGATGTTGTGCAAGGTTCCAACCACATGGTCTCTATTGTAGCTGGACAATCTCGTTTTCCGACATATTGTCTTCTTTCACAGCCATACTCCTCATTTTGTAATTGTGTCGTTTCTTTGGACAATGTTGAGCAGTGTGCTTTGGTTCTCCACAATATAAACATCATCCTTCTTGACGACGACGAGTCTTTTCTTGCTCAGTAAGATGTTTGAAACGTATTGCATCAATTTGCATATCTTCTACTTCCGAATGTATGTGTTGAAGGGGTGTTGGTGTTGCCATTGAATTATAGTAACCTTGAAGTCCACTTGTACGGTTCTCAGATCGAAATTCAAAAAGGTGATTGTCGCACTTCAGAGCAAAGTCAATTGCTTGACTCAATGTTTGAGGATCAAGTAAGTTGAGCATTAATTTTTTTACTTCATATTGTAATTTATAGAAAAATTTGCTAATAAGTGCAACATCATCCCACTTGATATCAGTTGCAAGTTGTCAAAATTGTGAAGCATATAACGTTATTGATCGATTGCTTTGTCGTAAAATATATATCTTATTGGTTGCAATACAATTACATCATGTTTTCCATACATGGATCAAAATTCTACCAAAAAAGCCTCTAGATTATTCAATATTGGATCTCGTCGTTCAAGAAAAGATGAAAATCAAGATATTGCAGAACCTCAAAGAAGCGTACCAATGAATCTAACTTGCGATCCTAGAATTGGATAGCTTTGGAGTTGAAGTTCAATCGCAAGTTACACTTGATTGATAAATCCT